TGCGACAGCCGGCCTCGCCCACTTTGGGGCTCGCGGCACCCCCCAGGGGGAACTGGCCTGGGAAGGAGACGCTCACCAGCTGGCCTGCCCCCAGCTTCAGGTGAGTTGGGGAGGATGCTGTGCCCAGGCACGTTAGAGGCGGTCCCCAGGGGACAAAGGAGGGGTGGTGTGGGCGGGAGTGGGTGTGTCTTCCCTCAGAGGCTTGACCAGATAATATCAGCCTGCTGATTTGGCATGGGCACCGGCCATGCGTTTGTGTCAGCCTTGGGCAGAATCCTGGGTGTGACCCCTTTAGCTGCTGGAAGGTGAGGGGATGAAGGTTACTGCAAAGGGGCTGATTGGTGAAGGGGATGCCTGGGGGTTCAGGGCAGTTGCTTTTCACCAAGAGATCAGGGATTGTTGGGACATCTGGGAGCCCATATGCGTTCCACAGGCCCAGGGCACCAACGCAGCCCCGTGTGAGGTCTCTGGGGCGTGGGTCTCTCCTCCAGAGGAAACCACCTTGGGAAGCCGTGTATAGTCTGGCTGTGGGAGCTGGAGCAGTTAGAAGCCTAGCTTGGGAATCAGGTGGAGGTGGCTGGAGTCCTGCTCTGGTACCTGCCCCTGTGATCTGGGCCTCAGTTTCCCATCTGTGAAATGGGGATGTAAGAGTACCCCATGAATGGGTGCGTTGACTTGGGTGAACTTAGGTGCTATCCTTCCCATAACTGGGATTCAAGGCCCGAGATGGCGCAAGGCCTTCCCTCCCATGTGCCTTCCTGCTCTGAGGGAACGTGTCTTGGAATTTATAATCTTTAGTCCTGGCCTTTGAGAACTTGCCTGGTGTGCTCTCTGGAAGGGAAGAGGGCAAATAGACAGTTAACTCTCCAACAATATCATCCTAGGCAGAGAGTCATAAAGGCAATGAGAGGTGAGAGGAATTCTGGAGGACTTAGTTGGGATTCAGAGTTTACGCTTAGCAGGCAAATCTAGGAGGGCTTCCTGGAGGAGGTGATGTTGACGCTGAACCTTAGGATGTGTAAGAACTGGAGAGAGAGAAGGACGAGAAGGAGGGAAAAGATCTGTCACTGGCAGAAGAGGCTGTCCATATGCCACTCTGCTAGGAGCACTGAGGGTACCCAGGGTGGCGTAAGTGCCTAATAAATATCCTCAAAATCAAGGACTCTGGGATTTTTAGTTTAGGTATCTGGGAACCTATTTTTGTAGTTTTATATGTTTTTATAGATGTGGAAACTGAGGCTCCCAGAGGCCAAGTAATGTGTCTGGGATTCAGGGTGGAAGCTGGAATCAACACTCATGGCCTTCCTAGGGTGAGGGCTGAGGGGTAGAGGGGCTGTCTGCGGCGGGGGCTGCACTTCCACAGGCTTCTTGAATGGGTGCTTCTCATTCTTCATCCGCGCTCCCTTCACCCCACATGTTGGCCAAAAGCCTCTGTGTGCCGGGCTCTGGCCCGATTTGCCAAGTGGGGCATACAGACAGACACACGGACATGGGCCAAGACTGAAAGGGGAGTCCCACCTCTGTGTCCTTGCCTTCGTTAGGTTTTTAAGCCCGTGCTATTCTGGAACTGCCCAGTACCCTGAGCCTGCCCTGGAGAGCCCGGGCTGGGTGAGATGGGGTGACTGGGCGTCCCCCAGGAGCCAGGGGAAGCGCGGTGGCCAGGCCCCTGACAGCCAGGTGGGGACCACAGGAAGCCGGTGCACTCACTCCCTTTCCAGGCAGGTTGGGGAGACGTGGCGCGTGTTCTGGGAAGCTGCGGTGTGGGGAGGGAGGGATGGTGTTTCCTGTGGCCTGGCCGGGGAGGGGCTGTGGGCCAGGGCCGTGGGCGGGTGAGGGGTGAAGGCCGGTGAGAGCACCGGGGCCACGGCTGCCCTGCAGAGCCATGGCTCTGCCACACCCGCTCTGGTCCCTCCCCAGCTGCCCGGCCCCAGGCGTAGACAGCGCCTCCAGGCTGCCGCAGGGGTGGGGGGACGGGCAGGACTGAGGGCAGCGTCCCACACCTGTGGCCCACGGGGCGGTCCTGCCACCTTCCTTTGTTCCTGAGCACAGCCCTTCTGGCTGCCGCACTCAAGGTCCCCGCGTCCTGGAGAGACCACGAGGATTGGACTCTGGCTTCTGACCTGGATCCCAGCCTAGTCAGCCTTTTTGAGTCGCACGTTCCGCTTCTGTAAGAGCTCCCCTTGCGGAATCACCACAGGGGCTCCACGAGGATCGTGTCGGGGCTGCCCCGGGGCCGGTTGCCTGCTTCATTCAGAGTTGGTTCCCGGCCCATGCAGCCGTCCGGCGGCTCGCGCGTTCAGTGCGGGCTGGGGATGCAGCCGCACGAGGCAGGCACCTGTCCCGGAGGGTTTGCCGTCCGTGGTGGGGACGGTCACTTGAGCTATAATTACAACACCGTGTGACTGGTGCAGGGAAAGCTAACAGGAGGGAACCCAGGAACGCAATCTGGGGAGGGTCGTCCTGTAGCAAGCCCTGAGGAGTAGGTAGGGACTGGAGAGGTGGGAGCCCCGGGGGAGGGGGTGGCGTGGGGAGCCCAGGAACAGCATGTGGGCTGCAGGTCTGTGTGGACCCAGCGGGCTGGCCAGAGAGGAGGTGGGCAGAGGCCGGGCCTCGTCGTTCACCTTGCCCCTGGGACATGCCCCTCCGCCCCCCACCCAGATCAGGGCTTCAGCTCACATGCTACCCCCCATCTGGAGCCTTGAAGTACAAAGACAGAAGGGGAGGCCAGCAGGAGGGATGAAGACAGTCCCGGGGGCCCTTCTGCTCTGCCCCCTCCCTGGGACCCCCTGAACTGAGTTGAGGAGGAGGTGGGACCATCTTGGGTTAGAGGCTGGGTGAGGTTGCCTGGCCTCCTGGCCTCCAGGCCTCATGGGGAGTGGGGTGACAGGGCAGGGGGTGATGAATTTTGTGTGGCTTTGAGGCGTGAGATCCTTCCAGACCCAGGTGTGGCTGGCGTGGTTTGAGGGGGGCGACGTGCATAGGGCCCCCTCTCAAAGAGAGGGGGACTTCAAAATACTGTCCAGCCTGGTGGTTAGAGACAGGTTAGCCCATTTGGAGAGAGCTCCAAAGTCCATACCCACTGGTCCTGCGGCTGCTTGAACTGTTGGCCTTGGGTGGGAAGCCTGTCCCCAAGCCTCCAGCCCCAGACTTCCTGGGAGGACCCTGGCTAGGTCTGGCCCTGGGTTGGCCACCTGCCTGCCTATTACTGGGGTCAGAGGCAGGATACTCTCCTTTTCCAAAAGGTGAAGGGGAATCTGTGCTCTCAGTTCCCACTGGGTCAAGTGGCACGTAGATACTGCTCAGGACAGGGCCAGAGCCCCCTGCCAGGGATCCCAGATGTCCAGCTGGTGTCTTTCTCGCTCTTTCTGGGCGCCTCCTACCCCCCCCAACCTTGGTTTCTCTTTGCATCCCTCTGAAATTTTCATAGCAGAAACTCCCTTCTGCAAATATTTACTGAGCACCAGCTACGTGCCAGCCATTGTTTCAGGCAGGGGGTCAGAGCAGAAACAAAACAGACCCGAGGGTGATAATTAACCTTCACTGTGTCTGGGGGAGAGCTGCCCTCTGTGTGTCGGGAGCATCTCTATCTTGTGGGTCTACCTGCAACACCTCCTCCCTCCCTCCCTTCCTCCATCCCCCCGCTGGGCTTTAAGCCCCTCTCACCTGTCCTCCCCACTGTCCTTTACAGATGTGGTGTCCCTGTTCCCTGTTTAGCAGGTCTTGGAAGGTTCTAGAGAGCCAGGAAACCCCTTTGTATCTTATTGTCCCAGAGCACTCAATTGATGGGGCATCTTGTACCCACAGTGGACTTGCTCAGGGTTCCTGATTTATTCCTTGACACTCAAGGGAAGCCTGTACCCACCCCCTTTCTGCTCTGTATTTCAGGCAGTGGAGCAGGAGAAATGGTTCACCTGATGATAGGAGCTGGGGCCAGTCTCCCTGCTCAGTGCCTGTCCGTGGGGCTTGTGAGGAAGACAGGAGGCACCATGGGGTCTTGAGAGATGTGGTGGGAGTTGCTGAAACCCCTCAGGGCAGACCGCTTGGTCCTAGCACTGTGGCTGGGACACTGTGAGGCTCAATGGGAACTTGTCGAATGAACCCCACTCCTGCTGATCTTGACCTTCCTTTTGAAGGTGCCCTGGTGGATGGGCTCTGTGTCTCTTTATTTCCTTGGTGGGGGGAGGAGGGTTTTCAATTATGTCACTGGCAGTTTTAAGGCCATACCTGCTCCTGTGGCTGTTGAGGTGGGATGGAATTATGGGATGTTCTGCTTCATGAAAGGTTGGTATGACTGGGAGGGGTCACCCCCAAGGCTCCAGTGGAAGAACCTCTCCCCCTTTTTTAAACAAGCATCCTCGCCTCTGCTCCATTCACATCTTGGACTCCCCGAGTCTCTGACCCACTCCCTAGACTGGACAAGGGACACACTTTGGCTGAAAAAGCCATTAGTGTGCTTATAGGTGTTGGAGATAGTCCTGTCCCCCCTCAAACCTTCTCCTCCGACCCCACATCCCCACACCTGACAAAAGCCCTTAAACCTTTCTAGTTCAGTCTGCGGAGGCATCCCAGGCGGCGTGCCTGAAGCATTTGCATTCCTAGGACTTAGCCCGATGCTTTGAGTGTCAAGTTTCTGGGTTAGTGGTACAGGGAGCGGGAAGCCAGAGCTCTTTACAAAGAAAGCATGTGTGTGGTGGAATTCCAAATATCCTGGATGGCATGGGGTGGCCTCCAAGCCTCAGAGCGAATTCTTGGGGGGAGAGCAGACCCTGTGTGACCTTTGTATGCACACCCTGACCTTGGTACCTGCTGGGGAGATGTCTGGGCAGCTCCGAACACTTACTATTCAGCCAGATGTGGGTGAGAGTTCCGTTGGGGCTGCGTAGGCAGCGGCGAGGGAGGCAGACACGGCCGCTCAGTGCTGTACATGATCGCCTCTGAGACCCACGGAGAGAAAGGGTCACCATTTTTTTTTTTTTTAAATAAGCTGCCGAGGGTCACCGGACCATGTCATGGACGCCAGGACCAGTCTGATTTCAGCGATGTGAACCGTGAGTCATCCTGAGTCATGAGAGGCAGAATGGGGGCATTGGACTGGCCAGAGGCACGGTCAAGTTCATGGGGGATGTTCGTTCAGCTGTGGGGGGTAACCGGGGTGGCAGGTCATGGGCAGAGTGGGGTAGGGGGCAGTGAGCAGCAGCAGCAAGGTCCAGGCTCTCTGGGCGTGTTTGCAGCTGGGATCTGCAACCTCCAACCCAATCGGGGAGCAGCCCTGACGTGTCTGTTGTGCAGAAAGGCAGAGGCTATCCTGGGTAACGCGAACCTGGGACTAGCAATGGGCAAGGGCTTCCAGCACCTGCTCCCCTGAGCTCCCATCCTTTAGTAGTGACTCAAATCCCCAGGGCTTAGTCCCTGGGGCCGGAGCTCCTTCTTTGCCTTGGACCTGTCTCTGTGCCTTCCCTTTCAGGAGCACTTAGTACGAAGCCGGCACCGGGATGCATGTGTACCGGCCTCACCTAACCCTGAAGCCACCCCTGTGGACACAGATACGGTTCTTGTCCTCATTTTGCAGATGGGGAAACAGAGGACCTGAACATCTCAGGTCTTTGCTGGGGAAGGGTCAGAGCTGGGAATTAACCCATCTCTGATGTTCACTGGTTTTTGGGGGATTAGCGTTGGTCGTCCCCCCGTTCATAGGGCGACCTGACTAATGGTCGATTGAGAGCAAGTGTCTGTGAATACGGCCCAGAGTGATGAGTGTTCCTCAAAGCTACGAGAGATGGTGTAATTCTTGGGGAGAGGTGTGTGTACGGGCTCCTGGGCCAACATTCTGGGGATGCCAGGACCACCTCTGGTTCTACCAAGGCTGAAAATTGGCAGAATATTCCAGAAGGTCAGGAGAACCAGAGCAAGGTGGCAAGTTTTTGAGCTGATCAGCCCCACTCCGGCCACTCCGACGGTCAGCAGGGGTGGGGGTGCAGCTGTGGGGGCCCCTGGGATCGGGGGGAGTGCCGTGTCGGACCACCAGACACCTCCTCCCCCCCACCCCAGCCTCCCTTTCCTTTGCCGTCTGGCTGTGTCAGACGTCTGGGCTTGCAGGGAGGTTCCTGAATGGGCCTTGGAAAGAGGTCACTCCCTTCCCGCGCTGCTGGCACTGACCCACATGTGACCTTCCCCGTGGTGACAGTGTCTGGCTGTCCCTCTTTGATGCTGTCCGTGGAGGGGCTGCGAATGTCTGGGGGCAAGGCGCTCCGCCCCGCCCCACCTCTGCTCTGGCCTCCCAGGACCTCGCACTCTGCGGCCCCTCCTCCCCTCGGCCACGCTGGGAAGGGGAAGTCCACAGTCCTGACCCTCTGAGCATCAGACTTTTCCTCTCCACGAAGCGCCCCAGCTGGGCTGGCGGCTCGGACTGTCTAGATGGAACAGACCAGTTCCTGCTGGGCTGGAGCCGAGGCGGATGGGCGGCCCCACTGGCCCCTCTCTGGCCCTGCAGCCCCTCTGCCTGGCGCTCAGCAGTGGACCTTCCTTCCGAAAAATCCCTGGGGTTTTTCCGTCTCTCCCCTGGCTGGCTGGGGGAGCTGTCCCTCAGGGCCTGCAGGTGGAGATCATGGTGAGTCTTGGGAGACGTTCCTGTGTAGCCTGGGTGCCAAGGCTGACCCCAAAGGTCCCCGCTCCTCGTGTCCTGATGCCCAGAAGGCCGTGCTGGGCTGCGTTGCCGCCTCACCTGGGCCTGGAGCTCTGTCTGCCATGGAGGGCTGAACTCGGGCTTAACTTTTAGTCTTGGAGTCCAGAAGTGCATGAAGCAGAGAATGGAGAACGTGAGACCCACCTCCCCTCGAGGAGCTGTTTTCTTCTCACAGTTGACTGCCCCTGTGTCTTTGGGCGCCTGGAGCCCCACTGGGCAGATTCTGGGGAAGTGGCCTTTGCAGATCCCTAGGGCTCCTAGGCCTCCAGGGAACCAGGCCGTGTCCTTGTCACTGACGCTCCTGCTGGGTGTCCGGAGGGGGGGTGAGTCGTCAGGGTCCACTGTGATGCTCACAGGTGGGAGGGCCCTGCCACTTGGGGCCTCGGAGGCACAGGCTATGTGCCTTTTCCCTTCTTTCCTCCCTGTAGCCAGTGGAAAGTTCGGGGGGAACTTTTTCTGTAGGAAGGAGAACCAGGATACAGACCCCAAGGGGCGGGGGGTCACGTGCAGGCTCTATGCACACCAGCCATGGGGAGGGCACCTGAAATCCAGCTCCAGAACCCCTGCTCGGGGCACCCTGGTTACTGCCTTCAGTCACGGCTCCCGGGGGCTTTTTCTCTTTCTTCTTCCTACGCTTTTTAGGGTGTATCTTGTATGCGTGCCAAAGTAAGGGACCAAACCCCAGGGGATGAGCACTGCGTTCGTGCCTCTCTTAGCAAGCTGCGAGTTGATGAGTCAGATGCAGCCGGCACGGGCTCGGGTGGGCGAGCACTTGCGTCTTTTCACCATGTGGACCCACTGCGGGCACGGCGCCGGCACAGAGTGGGGCCGCACGTTTCCTCACGTCAGTGAATTGCCTCCCGATGAGCCGTGGTCACACCTGCCTCCCTCCTCTGGGGCAGATTCCACCACCACCCCGAGCTCGCCGCATAGTAGGTCCTCAGCGAGGTCTTGGTGGGGAACGTGGGTTGCGTCCGGTGCTGTTGGCATGTCCCTTGACGTCCTCTGTGGTGTCTCTGGGCCCAGCCTTGGAAGGGTCCGCTTGGAAGGGCTTGGGTCCGGACACTGTGTCCCTGACAGGGAGGCCAGCCGGCTGGGGATGCAGCAGCGTCAAGACAAAGGCCTAGTTGTGCCCTAGGAGAAAACCCAAACCTGGATTCCCTGTGGCTGAAGCTGCCAGTGCCCAGCCCTCCGTGTTCCCATAAAGGGAACTTTGTGTGTGGCTGCCGGCGGGGAGGAGGGGGTAGCCGGCGCCTCCCCGCACCCAGCCTCTCCCCGGGAGCGGGTGTGCCGCCTGGGAGCCGCCGCCCGCTGTGATGATAACTTCTGTGATCCCTGACCTCTCTGAGCCGACACTGGCCAGACGGTCGCATTTGGGACAATCAGTCTGTTCTCCGTGTCACGGGGCCAGCACTGTCGGATCCAGACCAGACACATTCTTTCTTGGAAACCCGAGTGGGGGCGGGTGGTAGGGACAAGGCTGGGGTGGGAGGTGCCCTGTGAGCGGGTCCGTGCCAGGCGGGCAGCGGGGGGCTGTGGGAGTCCCATCTGGAAGCCCAGCTGCTGCCCCTGAATGGGGGGCTTGTGTGCACCCTTGAAATTAGGACCCCAGGGCTCAGCGTGTGGCAGCTGACGGAGCCCTGCTTCTGCTCCCACTGCTGACTCGGGGTTTTCCACGAAAGGGCAGCCGGCACAGGCAGAGAGGAAAGGGGCCAAGACTGTCTCCTGCTGTCTGGGCTCGTCTGCCCTGCCCACTAGGGATGGTTTGGGCTGTTTAGGGGTGAGCTCTTGCCGTGTTTGGAGACCGGGTTCTCAAGGAATGAGGGGGCAGGAAGGCAAGTGGGGACAGAAAGTCTGCAGATCCATTGGGGGAAGTTTCTAGAGCAGATAGGGGACAGAGAGGGGGGTGCCTGACTCTACCTTCCAGAAGCGGTCCATGCAGGTAGCATTTCCGTGGAGCTTGGCAGTGTGGAGGGTGGCACTGTGGAATGGAAGGAGCTACTCACTCATTCTACAGGTATTCATTGAGCACCTACTGTGTACCGGGACTGTTCCAGGCCCTGGAACGTAGAGGTAAACAAGATACCTGCCGTTATGAGGCAAGTGTTCTCAGTGGGGAGCAGGTCTTAAGCAGATAACCAAGAATATCATCAGAAAGTGCTGCGGGGAAGAGCTGAGTGGGGTCCAGGGATGGGAGTGCTGGGGGCGGAGAATGTTTGCCATTTAAAGTAGGGTAGCTGGGAAAGGCCTCTGTGATGAGGCGACCTTTGAGCAGACGTCTGGTGGAAGTGAGGGAATAGCCATCTGGGTATCCAGGGCCAGTGCACCTGGTACCATGCAGAGGGCGTGGGAAGTGCAAAGGCCCAGAGGTAGGGGCTTATTAGCATGTGCTGGGAACAGCCAGAAGGCCAGGGAGGCAGGACAGAGTGTGGAAGGGGAGAAGGGAGAGGGAGTGCATGGGGCTGGGCTGTGAGGGCCTGTGGGCCACTGTGAGACACTACTCTTCAGTGAGTGGAACCACTGGAGAGTCTGGGCAGAGGAGACTGGTGTTGAGGCCCAGGAGGGGCCAGTGAGGTGGGCAAGATGGCTGGGGTCTGGATGCATGGAAGGTAGGCCTGATAGGGTTTGCTCCTGGACAGGCTCGGATTTCTGCCTTGTCACTTGTATATACCATGTTGATGGATAAGGTGCACTGCTCTGAGGCAGGGTTTCTCCTTCCTCCTTCAGCAAACATTTATTTGGTGCCTGCTGTGTGCCAAGCTCTGGGCTGGGTACTAGAGCAGCCTGGTGCCTGCTTCAAGGAGGGGGAGCCAGGAAAGAAAACCAGCCACAGTGTCTCTCGCTGGAGTGAGCCGACCAAGGGGCAGGGCTCGGGTGCTCAGCACATGTTCGAGAAACCAGTTAATGAATGTAAACAATGCACAGGTGCTGAGAGGCACAGAGTAGGGGCATCTACGTGACATGGGGAGGAGGCCAGAAGGCTTTCCAGTGGGAACGTGTCTATTCAAAGTCTCCGTGTAAAGAAGTCTGGTAACTCTAGGATGCTTGGGTGGAAGAAACAGTATGAGCAAAAAAGTAGTCTTCAAAAAGCTTGTCTTGTGAATCAATTTGGACTTTCCCATTTGCAAAGGACAGACAACCCAGTACAAATAGCCTTAAGCAAAAAGAAGCTGGTTTGCTGAACTGGATGAAGCTGCTAAAAAGTCAAGCGGTTTCAGGCATGGCTGGATCCAGGGGCTCAAACCTCAGCATCAGCTAGTGCCTCTCGGTCTTTAAGCACTTGCCTTCTTTGTTTTTGGCCTTGTTCTCAGAAGGTATTTAAGCCAAGGTCCCAGGACTGGTTCTGAGTAGTCTCACTGTCACAGG